AGGTTGTTATGGTTTGGGCGCTAGGGGGCGGTGCATGGTTGGAAAATGGAAATGGTCATTGCTAGCTATATAGGGGCCTGAATTCTATTACTAATTCTAGGGGTTGGGGATATATTCTGCTATAATATGCTAAACGGAGCCCGTAACGGGTTTAGGTACCAAGTGACCTGGGATGCTGTCAGATTCGCAAAGCGTCGACTTGAGGCCCCAGCGCGATCTCGGCCTTCCGAGCAGATGCACATAACGTGTGTATGCGTGTATACGTATACATACATACATACATACATACATACGCACACACACACACACATATATATATATACATGATTACATACATACATATTAACATACATATGTGGGACGATGTTTATACACTTACATACTTACATACATGTGTATGTAACGATATATACGTACATACACACATATATATGTATGAGCATGAATATGCTACCCCCTCATGACTCATGTACCCGCGCTTTGTGCTTGAATCGTGTGGGATCGTCGTGGCCCGACATGTAGTCATGCATGTTTCTTTAAACATACTTTGCAAGTGACAAAAGAGGAGTCCAAGTTTCTCTGCTAGATTGTGCCCGGCCCAGCACTGGTGCCTCGACGGCTCCGGTCCCGTTGCTTCGAATCCGGATCCTCGGCCTTGCTCCGCTTCTCGGAGCGCTCGGTCTTCGGATCCTCGAGGCGAAGCCGTCACCCTAAGCAGCTTACGGTCTACTGATTTGGTGCATGTATACTGGGTGTATTAACAAAAAAATATGTGTAAGTGTATATATATATATATACACATACATATAATTACATGTGTATGTATGTATGTATGTATGTATATATATATATATACATATTTGCAGGATGCAGAGGCCTGATCTTGGCGTCTCTTCCGCCACTCATCTACTCGGGGCTTCAGCTCGTCCAGCTTATTTCGAATCTCCTTGCAGCTGCGGAGAGTCACGAACTTAGGCAACACCAACCGAGCTTGAGCTGTGGTAGAATCTGGATCTTTGCTGAGATTTAGTATGTCCTGATAGGAGTTGTGTATTTTGAACTGCTTGTGGGCCGCATCTGCCTGAGAGTTAGAGTCTGCGCTAGGCATGCCCACCGGTTGTCGGCCAAGTCTGCGGCAGCAGCGCCCTGGTAGCACGTGCCGCAGATGTCGCCTGAGCACATGCCAGCACCAAACACAACGCGTCAAACCCGGCACTGCCCCAGGCCACGACAAACTTCTTCAGGAACAGCAGCCGCTATCGCCTTCTTTGTTTCCTCCTGAAAGTTCTTCAGCAAGGATGCACGATGAATAGCCGTGACACACACACACACACCTCTCTCAAACACCCTCCGGAACAGAGTTGAATTTATGCCTGGCAAGCGCAAACGCCAGTTTGCACAGCACGGAGGAGGAAGGAGGGAATCAGTGGAGAGCGACAAGGACTACGTAAGAGAAGCAAAGAGACAGACAGAGAGATGCAAAAATCCTCCTCTACAGCGGCCGCCTCCTTTGTGAGGTCTTCGGCCTGCAGAGGTCTACCAGAAGCACTGCCAGAACTAACATCTTGGGTTTAGGGTTTAGGGCAATAATTGCCAGTACTCCTTTGTACAGTAAAACAGTTGCAAGACATGGCCCAGCCTCGGCCATCAAGCGAGCCTTCTCCTGAAACTTGTCATCGTCCAGGCCTCTGGCAGCGACTGAGCCAGGCCGAGAGCAGCGATCCATAGCGCCCCGAAGCCCTGAGACCCGGGCTCTCAGCCTGCTTCACCTCGGATTTTTCGGGAGCTGCAGAGGCAGCGGAAGGCTTCAAGATGCCAAAAAAGGGCGACACTTTGGCGGAGCTCTCCCGCTTCATTGCGGAGAGCTTGTCGATGACAGGAACCTCTCTGACAGTCTAGGTCTCAAAGCAGTACTAGGGGTCTACAATATGCACCTTGCAAGGGAGTGCCGGGGCTGCTACGGGCAATGGAGGTCTTCTCCTACCCCAGTCATCTCCTGGCGCCGGCAATCAAAAGCTTTCAGTGATTGCCTCTTGTCTGACATGCGAAAAATCCAGCGGGGAATGCGGATCCGCCCCTTCTCGTCCGCGATTCGTGCTTCGCACTCTCGCACGGCAAACTCCAAACTGGGAAGGGTGTCTGCTTCATACTGACCTTGCTTGCAATTCTTTCCAAAGCACAAAGAGACATCTGACTTTATTTGCAGTGTTTGATGGCACCAGGGGCTACACGTCTCAGCTCATCAGCATCGGGGTGTGTGATGAACCTTCCGCGACTTCGCGTGAAGAGCGAGCTGTCAACGCTCTACGAATGCTCATGTGGTCTCATCATGCTGAGGCAGTGACTGATCTCTCATAATTTCTGAGTGAATCTTCTCACAGGGCTTAAACTGACCTCAATCATATTGTATCCACATGCTTGGACTGGTGCCCGAATGCGTGACATGGACACACCCACGATAGCACCCTTACAGGCATTGAAGCGGATCCTTCTAAGAATCCCACGTTTACCTCAGACGTAGCAGTGACGCTGAGCTCCACGACTGCATGACAAGGCGATCTCACATGCAGCTGCGGAGCCGCCCAGGTAAGCTCGATCAAGCGGACAAAGCCCGATGAGAAAGCTTTTACACACGCCTGAATCTACGGCCGCAAGAAGTGGACGGACCACCACATTAATTTGCTGGTGCAAACATCTGTCGCAGCCGAGATGCCTGGATCCTTGAACTTTTCTTTTGCCTTACGAGTCTTTCCAACAAGGAGCAACCCTGCCAAACGTGTCCAGGCCGTGCACAACCACAATACTTCTAGTGTTGAAATTGCCCTGGAAGTCGAGTGGCTTTTGCTTTGTCGACTTCCTTCTCGTTGCGATTTGGCCCCATGAGGGCATCGAGCATGGCTCTTGCTTTGTTCATGGCCTCGGGTTGATCGTGATCCTGTGCTACTGCACAGGCGACGGAGCATGTCATCTCAACATCTCAGCCGTTCAACTGAGACGCTTTCTCCTTCAGCACGCAGCGCCTCCAACCACAGGAACACTTTTGCCTTCTGCACTTCTTCAGACTTTCCACTCAGATTCTATTCTCGGTGGGCAGTAGGCAGCACGTGTCAAAATTTGTCAAACCAACCCAGTCTGTGAATTGTCGGAACTGACTAGACTCCTAGACGTGCCTCCAGAGACTGACCAAGCCATGAGTCAAGCTTAAGCCCGCTTTGACGGCCCGTCGGCCCAAGCTTGCAGGAGATCTCGTTGCTGTCGTAGTGTGAAAGGCATGTAAGAACATCGTTTACGTGAGGCATCGTGACACCGTGAGGCAGGAAGCGGCCCCCGAGAATCCGTTTCCATGGTTTACAGTCGCGGCTCCCATTGAGAATAGCTGCAGCGAGGTGTTGTGCAGTTCTCCGTGCTTTTGGGCACGTGTATGACAGCTTGCTTGTACATGAGATGGTGCACCATTCTAAGGCAAGCGGACTCTCGCAACTCGCAGTCGCATTGATGCTGAATGCATCTGAAAGCCCAGTGCTTGAGAGCTGGCTTTCAAATTCCACTGCATCATCATCCTCCTCATTGGCAGCTATCATTCGGCTATTGTTGCCCACCAAATTTTCCAGGGTTGCCGATGATGCAGCGTCTGTGGCACTGCCTCGAATTAACGCGCTTTATTTCGCATTCTTGACAATGGCTGTCCAACTCCAGCTTACACCCAGCGCACCCCAACAAAAGCTGCGCGCCACACTGGCAAGGTGAATCACCCAGTGAAACCATAAGGCCCATAAGGCGTCCGGAAGCATGCAACCGCCTACCACGTCAGGCCTGAAGCCTCAGGGGCCTCAGGAGTAGAACGCTTTAGTTGTAACTTTTCTTTGGCCTAGATGTGACTTTTGAGCTTTTTCAACCAAACATCTTAGTCGTGACTTTCGTTTTGCTCTATTTCGGAGCCTGCAGGGTTTCCTCCTCAGGGTTCTCGTCTTTCGCAAAAGATTCGTGCTTCCTGAAGGCTCAAGCTGGGGCCAAAAGTTCATGCGTGCTTGACTCCTTAGGGTTTTCGTCTTCGGCCAAAGGTTCCTGCTGGGTTTACTCCTTAGGTTTATCGTGAAGCCTCGTGCTGGGTTTACTCCTTAGTGCTTTCGTTTTCGGCCAAAGCTTTTCGGCCAAAGGTTCCTGCGGGGTTTACTTCTTCGGTTTTTCGTCTTCGACCAAAGCTTCGTGCTGGGTTTACTCCTTAGGGTTTCTCGTCTTTCGTCGAAGCTTCCCGCTGGGATTACTCCTTAGGGTTTTTTTTCTTCGGCCAACGGTTCCTGCTGGGTTTATGCTCTCACAACTCGGACAAGCCAGGCGAGGCTCATGGTGCGAAGTCGGCGTGATACAGGAATCAACATCCCAAGTCAGAGAAGCGAACACAAACCCATCTAAGACCAATCCGCCACTACCGCCTCAGGGGATCGAAGGCACTTGAAGAGGCTCGATGCTAAATTTCGAGTTATTGACGACTGCCCTGCTATGAAGGCAGAACACTCTAGCAGGATGTTTCAGGGCTCTTCACAAACCAGGCGTCCTCTACTATCCATGCGCTGGTGCAGATCGCAAGCGCAACTCTGCAAGTTCGTTATTTTTGGTTGCTGGACCTGCCACCACTCGATCTTTCAGATCATGGGCCAACGAGCCATGATGAACTGTATGTACTTACTAAGGCCTGCACAGTGTAGCAGGAACAACTGGCGCAAACTTTTTGTGAAGGGAAACACTCTGGCAGAATTGAATGCTGCTATCGCGATCGGCAACGAGTCTACCGGTCCACGACTTGACCCGACATTGCGGACAAGGGAGGATCACTCTCATCCACCAGCGATGCCGCAATGGGGAAGAGCTGGCATGGAGAATGACGACGCTTGCCAACACATCTGAAAATGGAGGCTCAACGAAGAAACATGAAATGCAGGTTGCCGCGCAGCACAAGGGGGCAACAGTGGCCGGGGTACGAACACCGCAAGCTCTCCTGACCAAGGAGGATTCTGACATCAATCATGCCAATGCTTCGCCTTGTGTGCAAAGTTCGATTGAGTCCTTGTAGTGCCACCCCTTCTTTGCGGGTCAAAGGCCCTGCACAACCTAGGCTTCCCGTTTTGCTGACTTGCTGCAAGACCACCAGGCGTCAGCTAATTGGCAGTCAACGAACTGGGTCGGAGTTCGCCTGATGCGACCAGCCCCAATCTCAAAGAGATCGAATCATCTACTTCCAGATAGCTTAAGCTCAAGGTCCGAGGCATGAAACTACAGCGATGTGTTGGGTGCTGGACTGTCCACACCGCGGGTGCCACTCGTCTAACCTTGTTGCGGAGGGCTGCTGCACGCTCGAAGCCCTCACACTTGGAAGCAGCGAGCAGGGCATGTCCTTCGCGAAGTGAGTGAGGTGCTGTTAACACCGCCGCCCCTCCTTTCAGACCGGACTGTACTTGTGCGTAACTGGCGACCGGACAAGACATGAGGCCCCTGCGCCGCGGACAGAATGCTACTCAGACTGAGCTCTTGAGGTCGAATGAGCACCTTAGTGCGGGGCGGGGTGCACGTAAACTGTCTCCAACTGCAAAAATTAACCCAAACAACTCCTCACGACGACGAGGGAAGAAAAACCAAAGATGAGGCACGGCTTGAATCTCGGAGCAAACGTCAACCGTCAAAGGATTGCGAGAGGCGGCAACAAATCTTGATCTGGTATACTATTGCATCTCCGGCTCAACCGAGCACTTGGAACCCCCGCCGGGTCGACCAGCAGGAAGTCTTGCCTGGGAAGAATGGTCCAGCGAGCAAGCATCATGAAGCCTCATGTAGCCTGTCCTAGCAGGTCCTAGCATAAGTATGTTACAGTCCCGATGTCACCACACATGCATCTGGCACCCTTGCGACACTCTTGGGGAGAGGCTCGTCCTGTACGCCCTGTAGGTCGGCCACCATCTCCTCGCAGGTTTCTGGCGATCTCAGAAATGTGCAAAAGTGGTTGGCATCGGCATGCGTCCTGGCCACCACTGCTCCAGGCAACGTAGTGGAAGAAAGCTTGTGGGAGCTCTTGAAAGTCTTCGGCACCTTTCGCTCGCACACTTTCACACTGCACTGCGGACACCCTGCCTTGGTCTCCGCTTCTATCCTAGAGGGGTCTGGACGTTTTCAATGCCTCATGCAAGGGTCTCCGTTCGTGCCGACATCGGCCACAAGTCCTGTTCTGGTTGTGCTCCAAGTCCAGCTGTCGCGTGGAATGGGGCGATTTGCAAGATCCCATATCTGAAGCTTCCTTGTAGCAATGCTCAAAACCAATTGCACCGACCTTCGAAGACAAACTTCGTGACGGACGCTGCGTCGAAGAGTGTCCTCAGCTATCCAGCCCTTTGAGCCCTGATCTTGCTACTGTGTGGCTCTGCTGTGGGCTCTGGGTTCCACTTCATTCGTAACGGCCTAGGGCTCTGCTCGTGTTGTGCTCTGGACTCCTCCTTATGGCGTGGTCCTTCGTAAAGCACAAGGCGCAAAGTGTAGTAAAGGACTGGTGATCTATGCTTGTCGAGGTCTGAGTGGCCTTGCGGCGAGCATGACGAATGTTCTCACGAACTCAATTTTCATATCTGACAGGCAATGTCATGCTGCTCCGACGTGCGAAACCGCGCTGTGCTGCCAGTGCGCCATGCCAGACCCTACTTATGAGCTGCAGCAACTCTACTAACAACGGGTGCGTCGAGGATTGCTCGCCAGTGCAGTTCAGGATTCAGCATCAGTGCATCTCCGGCATCGGCAATGTGTGGGTTGATGCTGTCGAGCACCTCAGTTCGTCCCCGGACCATTTAGAGCTGCTTTGTTCAGTCGGTCTTCGCATTGAGAGGCAAGCCGCGAAAACAGGCAAGTGTACATTCACTGTCCTGATCGTAGCTTTTCGGAAAGGGTTGTCCCAAGATTTTTTGCAAACTGCATGCAGAAACGATCATCATGACGATCCTTCAACGCGAATGGCTTGCTGGTTTCTACAAGCCGAAGCTGCTTTGCCAACCCCTACAGTACTGTATGCTCGCATCATGCTGCAGCAAAGCCACAAAGCAGCCAACCGGCACAGCCACGCGAATGGCTGGCGCAGAGTCAAGTTCCTCGCCGGCAGCACGAGCCTGCAAGCGAAACACATTTGGACAAGGATTGTCTCAGAGTTGCTCAACTCGCTTCTGCCATCAAGTCTGCTTCACTGCGAGGCACGATATGCTGGTTGAACTTGTGCGCGTAATCTGCCACACACTGGACTTCCTTGATCACCTCCTTCACCTGCAGATTTGCAGTGCTTGCAGTAACTTCAGCGATGACTTGCTTCTGGATCAAGGGCAGCTGCCAAAATGTCATCCTGCCCTCGCGGCCTTTTCAATGTCACGATGCTCCTTGGCCAATGGCACCTGCATTCGCCAAGAACCGATAACTGTCATATCCGCTGCAAAACCTGCATCAGAAAGAAAAGGCCTGCAGCAAACCCCAGAACTCCTCGACGTCCCCATCGCCAGTCGGCGCCCAAATCTTGACCGACCATGCTCGCCAGGGCCTGGACATGACAGATGCGCATCTGCAATACGAACGTGCGCACACACACACACACACGCAAAATCACACAAACACCTGCCGGTCACTTTACTTTTGGCCCATGCTTAGAAGATGGTGTTTGGGCCTTGTCCTGTTGGAATGAACCTTCATGTCCCCAGCACCTTCAATGCCCCTGCCGACTGTCATTGTCCTCGGTGGCCCTCCTGCAGCTGCATCATGGAGACGTCTTTGAATTTGTATTTTTTTCCATCGCGCCAATCTGACCACTCCAACAAATCTACCTGCCGGACTCCTATCTAGAAGCGCAGTTGGACGTCGTTTCGCGAATCCTTGTGACGACTTTGGGGCCCCCCGACTGCTATACCCCCTTCATGCCAGACTAGTGAGTCGGGCCATGTCATGCGCTTCACTGTCAGTTCTTGCCAGTCTCCGGCAGTTCAAGTTGAGCTCCTGAGCTCGGACCCGGATCGTCTCTCCCATTTCCCAGCTTCTTGTCGACTAGTTCGACTAGTTGGCCAGCATGCCGCATGCCGCTCCTTCTGCCTTCGTTCTGTTCCCTGTCGCGCAGCGTGCTCACACCACCATGCGTGGCTCAATGGCGCAGGCCTTGCGAAGCGAGATTCGGATGCTGTCGGCCACAGGCTGCTGGACTTTGAAGTCTGCGCATTCCGGTGGGCAGCACGATCCTCAACAGAGATGTTCTTGCCGTCTGATGGGTGGTACCCCTCCAAGCTCCAATCAGGATCAAACAGCTGCGCTCTTACTTACTTATCAGTCCTGCCGCAGAGTCAAGGGACTCCAAGCCTTCACCTGGCCAGCAACGACAAGCAACTTGTGAAGACCACGAAACTCATCTAGTCATGAGGTCAGGATTCAAGAGCCCAGACGACTGTTTCGAAAAAACGCCTTGCCCTTCACTGTCTTTTTTGGCAAGATGGGCTTGGCAGTGCAGAGCTTTCTTTCTTGCACAGGACCGAAAAGTTGTTGCTGCCCCCTCCTATTGAATTTCTATAAACGACGCCTTGTTGAGAGACCTTGTCTTGCGAGGTTGCATTGGGCCTGCAGCTACAGGCTGCCCCGGTGGCAGAATTTCCCATTTCCGCAGGAATGGAGCTTGTTAGGGGCAAAATTGTACGCGGGTTTGTCGCAAATGTGGAGTTCATGAGATCACTTCACAACCAGATCTTCCGACTTCCAACACCATTCAACGATTTACCCAAACGAGGTACTTGCGTCTGCTTCAATTGTAGAGAGCAGATCGTGCTCGTCAGCCCACTCGCCTTCTCGATGCAAGACAGAGCCAGTTCCTGACCTTTCCACGGAGCTGACAAGAAACCGGCTTGTCCTCCAGCTCTGCCAACACGATGCACCGCTTTTTTCCCCCAGGATCCGGCCTGTTTTGAATGGAAACTTTGCCGAGGCCAGCTCGTCCTGAGAATCAGAACAGTCAGGCATAGCGCGGGAAGATGACCTTCGGCTCAGTTTTTTCGGGGCTTCGGCAGTCCTGGGGGAAGGCAAAAGCAACCTTCAACGCCACCTGCAGCTGCTCCTCAAGGTGCGAACTGTCGCGCGCTGCGAAACTGTGAACAGTGTCGTTTCCAGCGAAGTTTCTCGAGATCGTGCATGCAACTGTCACCACAACCGGTCTACATCTACTTCTGCAAGCGAGTGCCCTGCCTCATTCCCGACACCCCCTCCACGGCCTTCTGCAGGGTTGAAGCTGGAAAGGCCATTGTTCCAGAAGCGGGACGCATGGGGCAAACGATGGCAGTCGTGTGTATGACAGCACCAAGCAGGAACGCGTGCCTTCCGCTCTTGCACTGCGCTGGTCTAGCCGCAGAAGACTTAGTATCAGCACAGTGTTGTGAACAACATTCTTGCAGCTCAGCTGCTCCGGTATGGTCGTGTAAAGTACAAGATTAGGGCCGTGCATGTACGCATGTATGCATGTATGTATGTACGTACGTACGTATGTATGTATTGGAAAGCTCTTGTACAGCCAGTCCTGCTATATGGTGTGGCCGCAGTGGGCACGACACCTGAGGTTCTCGCCGATCTTTACGGGGAGTCTGTCTGCTTCAGCTTAGTGCTGCTTACTGCCTTGCTTGCTTCTGTGTCTGCTTCACAACATCTCCCGGCTTGTTCTCCGACTAAGGGCCAGGCTCGCAGGGCAGCAACTGTGTCAGGTCGGACACATGCAGTTTCACCAACGATGCTCACGCGGCCACAATCCCTCCGTTGCCAGCTGCTACCTATTTTTTCTCAGTCGTAGCCTGGCCGCAAGTTGTCACAGCGTTGCCCATGGTGGCCTGCGTGACTGCTCCACACGACAGCCCCACCATACCTGCAATCAGCTCTGCCTGGCCTCCAGGCCAGCGCAAGGAGGTCTGGAGTTTGGAGAATAAAGGATTACAGGTTCAGGCTGGTCAGTCTGGTCAGTGCTTGCTGTGCAGGTGTTGAGTGACGCCGTGTTGTGCACTGCTACCGGCAACTGCTCGAAGAGCTGATGTCATGGTCCTCCTTCTGAAAACCTCTCTCGACCCGAAAAGCCTCTGTGGCGAGCACTACTATAGCTAAATCCACCCCATTCAATGCTGAAATGCTCACCAGCTCTGGCTACAGCCAGGCTCAAGCGATAGCTGCTTTCGCTTGCCCAGGATGGATAGCACCCCATGTCCTGAAGATGCAGTCATTTTATCGAGCCATGGATTTTCGTGCTCTGGGGCTAGATGACATAGCTCCGCGCGCAAGCGTAAGGTGAAACAGCTGAAGCAGGCGGCTGTGCTCTTGCTGAAGCTCTTGGTACCTTCTCAACGCAAGATCCATCTCTGACTTGACTCGACCTGCTGCAGCTTGTAGGTCAGGGGCTTGCTGTGCCACGCTGTGGTACAACTTTACGACCGCTTCTCGTCCTCGTAGATGCTTCTCCATCTTAACTCGCCCCCCCTCCTCCAAGAACTTCATGAGTGTGCTGCTTTTCTTCTTAAGCTGAGCAGGCAAATAGCAAGCCTCCCTGAGAGCTAGAGCCTCCTTGTGCAGTTGCACAAGCTCCTCTCGCTCTGAAGTCAATTGTCGCTCAGTTCGATTTCGTTCCTCCGCGAGGCGATGACGCTGCTCCTCGGCTGCATCGAAACGTTCCCGCAGGTCTCGCAAGTGGTTCTCTCGGCTTTGGAGGCTGCGGGAACCCTCCTGCAACCCGACCTTCAGCTGCGACAGGTACCACTCATTCACTTGTGTTCTTCGTTGGAGAGCCGTCAGCCTCGCTTGGCACTGTCGCATTTCCTTTGCCTGGTTGTAGGTGCGACGAACGGCCGCCCTGGACGGTGAAGCAAACGCACCAACGCTTGGAGATGTCCGGCTTCCACGACTTGTGCGGCTGCTCGGAGTTCCGCAGATTCCGCCGTCTAGCAGGTCCATAGCAAGTGTATCTCTATGCGCGAGTAAGGCGTTTTCATCTTGTAACTGCCGTTGCTCCTCTGACAACTGGTCAATTTCTGCTTCGTATCTCTCGGCCAGCTCTTCCGCTTTCGGCTGACGCTCGCGGTAACGCTCGAGCAGCGTCCGCAGGCGCAAACGTTCAAGTTGCGCGTCATGAATGCGTATCTCGTCAGCAGCCTCTTGCTCTTCGCCAGCTGTCTGCAACCTGGTGTACTCAGCTTCCAGACTCCTGGCATCGCCCAGCAGCGTACAAACATCCATCATATCTACGGAGCAGGTCGGAAGCGGCAGCCCGTTAAACCAGGTAGGCAGCTAGGTGGATGCAAACCCTTGTGCATGGTCTCGTGTCGAGAGAAGCTCTTGCATGCCACTAAGACGAGAGACCGGGGGGTCGTGCCACCTACCGATGCCGACACTGGATGTTGCCTCCAACTATAAACGGCTGAGCACGGAATTCGGCAGATCTGTGCAACTCGGAACTCCCGAGCTGTTCGCATTGTCGCTTCGTCAGTCTTGGCGCGTTTGAAAGGCAATGTGCTCACGGATGCGGCATCGATTTTGATCCACACGGTGCCGCTTAACATCCGCAGGGCCAAGTGACGGGGGCCGCGAGGTGGCCTTAATTTCCAGGGTCACAGGATCCACCAACATGCATTGACACACAAACACAGACACACACACACAGAGAGAGAGACAGAGACGCACTCTCTCTCCCTCAAAACGCTGTGGCAAAGACTCGGTGTGCCATCAGCTTGGCAAAGGCTTTCTCTTGCTGCTGAAGCTGCAGCAGGAATTTAGCAATGGCCTCGGTTCATAGTTAAGTAGTTGGACCGAGAGATGTGTTACAGCCCGCAGAACAGACTGTAGTAGGAACGCAAGATTAAAGTACTGTGCACGCATCCAAGCTGGCATTATGACACTGTCAGGTGTGTCTCAACTGGACGAGAATTCATTCGAATGCCTCCGCCACATCGTCAGGACAGTCTTCGTGAATGTAGTGTCCAGAGTGAGGCACCACTTCCTTTGTGGACACCAGTTCGTCGCGAGAGAACGCCCGACAGTTTGCAAAGAGGAATCATGAGCATAAACAGACTGCAGCCGGAGATCCAAGCGAAAGCGACCTCAACACTTGCAGTGCGCATCTGAAAGAGCGGCAATTGCAGTCGTGTCATCTTGTGCGATGTGTAATGCAGGCAGGGACCTTGCATGTGTGCAGCCTCCAAAGCCGCGTCCATTCGGTCCACCGATCCCACAATCAGGAGCTTGGGTATTGGTAAGCCGACGAAAAGGGAGCTGACCCCATCAAACCACTGGGGCCAGCAAGTGATGGCCTGGCGAACAAACCGTCCGCTACACGCTTCTATTGACTACACCGTGGTTCGGACGGGCGCCTCAGAAACGTTGGTTATCCAAGTCCACTTCTGGCCAGCCTGGCGTATGAGTAGAAGCGCTGTCAAGTGCTAGCTGCTAGCAGGGCTTCGAGCTTGATGGACCTCGCGATGCAGTCGAGGCGGGATGTTCTCCCTTGCTGCTTCTGGGTTTGCTAGCATTCCCGAAGATAGGGACCAAGCAATGGCATCCTGGCAATCGCTGGCTCACGAGCCGCAAAGGGAGGAGATGCTCTCCTCCAAGCTTGTGAAGCTGCGCGGTCTGGCCTGCATCCGGGAACCCGGCAACCCTCTGCAGATTGTAAGAAGACACTTTGAGAAACTCATTGATTTGCAGCTCGGCGCCTGCATCCACGCAACGCTGCGCGGAAGCGTCTCTGCAGCTGTGCCTTCCACAGACTCCAGGAGAATGGCAGCCCGCCTCGAGGGACGCTGAAGCCAACCCATGAACTTGTCCAATGTCCGGTGTTGCCGGGTTGGTTTTTGCTGGGCAAATGGAATTTGCACAGGTTCCTCTGTGTCAAGAAGTCGCCACTCTTTGCCATTCTGGGTGGCAGTGTAACTAGGTCGAACGGTTAAAACCCCAAATTGTAAGTCTGACCAAATCGCGACCTAGGTGCACCTGAAGAGGAAGCTGCTTTTTCAGAGCCTGCGCGGCGATACGTTCACATGTTTGCATGAAGGCTCGTCCAGAGCAAACGCGGATCTTGTGCATCATTGATTCTCGTAAACATGCCGCGGCTTTCTCCGAGAAGAGGATCAGTCAGTGCTATGACCGCGGCCTCTGAAGCTGCACGGGCAGCTAAAGCACCACCCAGGGAGTGCCCGCAAAGGATGAGCGAAACGTTGTCGTCCTCGCCCTGAGAGAGTCGCTCCTTGGCTCCCCCAAGAAACTCGAAACCTCTCAGCTACGATGCACTGCGTGTGCTTGTCTCGGAGTGCTGCGGCTTCAATTCCGGAATCTCTGACACTCCGGGCGGCCCCTGTGCTTCGAAGCAGTGCCAAAACGTCGGGCAACAGTTGTTGCAGTCCTTGGCTACTGTCCTGCCACACAGGCCCAAGAGTGATCCCGCACCTATCTCGTCTCGTGTCTTCGCGGACTCGCTGCCATGGGCTGGACATGCTGGTGCATGATTTTTGCGGTCAAGAATCCAAGGCTTTCATCGAGGCGCTCCTCAACCATTGCTCCGCCATGGCCCCGAAGGTCCGCAGCAACTATCGTAACTGCCAAAGGCATGAATTGCAATAGCGTGACAAGCATAAACTCTGGTTCTGGAACCGTAAGCTTCCTGAATTTGCTCTGGGTAGCCTCCAATTCGGTTCCGCAGTCTTCTTGCCACCTGCGCCCACACCAGCGCAACATCTCCGGCACCATGCAAGCAAAGCACCTTGCAGCTGCTCAAAATTCCCACAATGCTATGGCCGTTCGGTGTCTTACACTCCCGTAGAAACACATTGGCTTTGCCATCAGACCTTTTGACATCCCCCTGGCACAGCTTAAAAGGCACCTTTCACCTCTGCTCCTCTTCGCCCGGAACAACTTATTCAGAATCCCGGGTCTGTCACACGACAAGCAGTATCCACACTGCTGCAGAGGGGCGGCGCTGCTTGATGCCGCACTACATCCAGCTGGGTGCCACCTTGGGGCAGAATGGGCTTTAGGCTCATGGATGGTTGGAGCTCATCAGCACAGGTGCCAGTAAGTTGGAATGGAGATGCCAGTAGAAAGGTCCAGCGTGACCTTCGCAACACTGCAGGTTTCCGGACGGTGGTGCAGCATATTGGAGCTTCGACACCTCCTTCCCGTCCTGGCTGTCTTGAGCATCTTGCTCTGGAGCAGGATGCGCAGAGGCCATGTTAAGAGAGCTGGGCGTTGTTACTACTACTATGACCATGTCCGTTAGTTACTATTATGTACTATTGATTTCTAATTAGTTGCTATTACTATTACTATGAGTATAACTACTATTACTATTATTATTGCTATTATTATTATTCATTACCATTACTGCTGCGAGCACCCGTTTTGGCCTAGGGGCCTAGTTCATTCCATCAGCGAAACCGGGTGCAGCCGCAGCTGTCAATTACTCCATCTACCAAAAGGCACTGATCAGACTACTCGCAACCTGAATGCAGGCTCTGCTGAGTTCGAGTTCGGCTAGATGGCGGCGAATTGAAGACAGCAAACAGCTGCTCATAGCTGCTCCCCGAGACCTTGTGGAGAAGCGCCGGGCCCTTGATTCGACCTTTTCTGCTTTTCAGCTCTGTGTTGGCTGCAGCGTCCTTCACGACTTCGCCAACCCACTTCAAGCTCGACGTCCAGCTTGCTGTCGCGTCCATGTCCCAGGAGAACCGGATAATGGAGCCCAACATCGCATCTCCAGGCCGCAGGGCCTGTGCCTCTATGACAACCTTCGACAGGTCAGGCAAGTTGGCAATGCTTTTCTACCAGTGCCAGGGGTCTTCAGTGTTGACCGTGCGCGCGAAAGCAGTGCTTTCGTCACTTCTCGTTGTGCTCGGCCGGTGCTGTTGCAAGAGCGTTGCCAGAGACATGATCATGCCATCGCGGCTCCCCGACGCTGTCATCTGGGGCGATGTTGCTCTTCTCTGGTCTCACTCGGACAGGTGCACAAATCGGTCAGGAAATTCACAGCCGTCCTTAGCAAGCGACAGCATACAATGTCTCAAGGGCAGAAACGTTTACGGCTTACATATGCGAATGCTCACCTGAAGGCGTGCAACATCCGTCTTTACGAAATCAAAACTGCAGGATGTCTTGTCGACTCAAACTGAACAGCTCAGGACAGCAAAATGTGGTCTCTCACGGAGCTCATCGACCCAGGGGATCAAGCAGGTAGGACTGCGACGCAAGGTAACGACAAGGACATCAGCAAGTGCAAAAGCATGGCACGACGACAGCATGTCCGTGACGCAAGCTGAAGAAAGAAGGTCGCTGTGGGACCTGCATCTTTCAGCCCTTCATGCAGGGCTGCCACCACAGGAGGTGCAAAAGAACGGGCCGGAGTGCATATTCCAACTTTACGCACACATCGCCATTTCTCATTCTTTTACCGGATTCGTGGCTTCGGGATGCATAACGAGCACTCAATGTCTGAGAAAGGCTCACCACAGAAGACCGTTTTGCATGCCAAGCCTCCCTACCTACGCCCAAGCCATTCCGGACACAGTCTGGCAGGCAAGCGTTGTGCCCCTTCCACCGGCAGTGAAGCAGCTGTCCCCGGGTGTTGCCGTAAATCTTCTCACCAGGCCGGTAGTACCTAACATGTAGCCGTCAATGTGTCGTCTGCTCATCAAGGATGTCCATGTTTCTGACAGGTATACTATGGATCGTTGCAGATCCACTCTGCTATAACATGTAAGTCAACCTCGTGATCTCGCCTTCTATGGAAGCCGCAGCATACACCTACAACAACATTGAAGCCTGACCATCCGCAGTTCCTTCCGAAGAGTCGCGGCACGATCTCACAACACTTTAGGGCGGTTGCTCTCTGCAGGCTGTCCTGCAGAAACTTCTAGCAGACCGTCACCCTTTAGCATCAATGGGTGCGCCTGAATTGGCCCACACCCTGCAGACGAAGCGACCACACAGAACCTGCAAGTTGATCTCGAAAGAAGTTCACGCGAAGCCCACAAAGCCTGGATGCAGTGTTTGGTTGCTTCATGTGCACGGGGCATCTGTGCTGCACGGTGGGCGGCAGCTGGCACGGATCCCTAAACTGCGGTGGCCTGGCTCGGATGTCGTAGGCTCGGACCTCTTGCCTCGGGTTTTTCATGCAACGCAACATGTGGCGTCTTTTTGCATGAAAGGACAGCGGAATTGCTGAAAGATGGCCTGGCAGAGTCTGACTTCGGTCTCTCTTTCTTCCTTTACACGGCTTTAGAAGGCAGGTCGAACAACCCTGATGCACTGCGCCCGGCTGTTGGGTTTTCGGGGCAGTCGGCAGAATCAGAAGCACGGGATTCTTTGCGGAGTCCAAATTGATCCTCTACGAGCTGAGGCCTGCACGGGCCCGAAAGCCAAATGTCCATGCGAGCAGTATCAGCTAGGGTCTTGAAGACAACGCGATCGCCCCTCAGAATATAGTCGTAGCCTGGCGGTTTGCGCTTGGGCCACAACGGCCCTTTCGAGGATCGAGGTGATGACAGGCCAGAAGTGATGTCCATGAGACCGAGCCGCCCATTGTCCTCAAGGTGTCCTTGTGCTTCTCCAGAAACTCGCCGATTACAATTCCGTGTGATGCAATGAAGTTAGCATCAATGTCTGCATCCCATGGGAACCTGGAGGATACACTCTCAGATTCAGCTTCTGCACGGGTGGTGTCTGAGTCTAGGGTTGTGACAATTCCGTCTCTCCGCTCCTGTAGAGGTTGAGTACACCTTGGAGCAGACAGACACTCAATCTGAGAGTCCCTTCTTTTTTGTGTGTGCTTGTAATCAAAACATACAGCAGCAATCGTTGTCCTGGGGCGTAGGCTAGCAGAAACCGGCACTATGATGTGACGGAGCGGATCCAGTGCTAGCCACCAGCCACCCACCTGCCAATGCTGCACAAGGCATTCTCAACCGTGATTCCCAAAATCAATTGAATGCTTGCCAAAGCAATGCAGCCAAAAAGGCATCACGGAACATCTCCTTCAAAGCCTTCCTGCACAGCACGCGGGGACAAGTCTCCGAGACTGCACCGAACCCTTCATACTCCGATGTGCGCATGCTCCTGGTGCACCAACTGACGACGACGCCGTGATTCTGAGTGAAGCTGCTCGCGAGGCCGGAAGTCGGAAAAAGACAGTGTTCTTGCAGCGGACCTGAAGTCATGGGGGTTTTGCTTGGTCTCATGAGAGCCGCTCTTGGCATCTCTTGACCCACCTCGAGCACCAGCCCGAGCGAGAAATCGAGCCGCCTCGATGTGAAAGGTTCTCGACAGTCCTGGTGAAAGGGAAGCTGCCTCGGGCCAGAGTCTCAGAGCAGCCCTTTTGCAGATGGTGAGCATTTGCTAGCATTTCTTGCGCCAAGTCGCTGATTGGTACACATTCTCCAAAGATGCCCCATTCCTCCCCCCCCCACCGCAGCTCATGCAACGCAGAAACAAACCTTCTGCGGCCCTCCAATGTCACTGAGGCGCAGGAATGTGTAGGCACGGAGGCCAGCTTCTTTGGAAAGAAGATCCAGCATCACGAGCCAGTTTTCGGCGGCCTGCGTGCGGAACTCCAAAAAATTGCCCCTCCAGGATCGATGTGCGCAGCTCGTCGGTTCCCCTGGATCTTTGCTCTTGTGTGCATGATGTTGCGAGTGTTCAGGAATCATTACAGGCTTGCAGCCGTGCCGGGAATCCAGCAGTGTCCATGCTGTCATACATGCTAAACCCCGGCTCACGTCCATGCCCGGAGCTTATTCCCTCATGCTGTTCGATATGCCTACCGTACACTCTGGCATTCAGAATGTGTTGCCATGCCAAACTTGCAAAGGCCTCGCTGCCACCAGAAAGTCCACCAGCACCTGTGCCGTGGATTTTGGTCCACAGAAGTTCCACAGACATATAGCTGTTCTACCCAACCCTTAAAACTGTGAAGCTTTATGCACTCCGCAGGACTTCGAGACATCGGCCACTCCCGAAATAAGTCCAGCACGGCCGTATTCTGCCATGCTTCTCATCGCTCAAACAGCAGCTCATGGCACAGTGACCAGACTTGGGCCCCCACCTTCCTGCCGCGGTAAAGCAGCAGTGTACTCAGACTCGCGTCTGGTCAGACTTGCAAGCAGGCCTAAGGCAAAGATCGTGAAACTGCGACTGTTTACTCCTAGCTGCCAGCCTTCGCCTCTACTGTGTCTGGGCATAAATTTCGACAGCAGTGTGAAGAAGCACGGTGCATCCAAGGGTCTCTTGAACACGGCTGTGCTGTATATGCGCGTGCCAGAAGTCGTGTCTCCTACTGCCCAGAACTGCGCCATCGGTAGGAACGGCGATGTTTCGTGACCAGTGGCATACCTGGCCAATACACGAATGCTAAAATGAACTGCATGGAGACGGAGTCTTATCGATGACAAGAACGCCCAACATCAGCTTGGAGTCTCTTCGTAGGACAGCTTCCAATATTTGTGCCAAACTCTCTGCACTGGCCAGTTGAATATGCGTGATCGATTCATGGTTGGCAGTCCCGCGACGACAATGTCCCGAGCCCATCGCTGGCCTTGCCAGCCACGAAAGTAACTAGCGGGCAACTAGCGTCATACCAGTGCAATGTGAGGTGATAGCTGAAGTCGGGCAGCGCTCTCGCAAAAGCTGTCTGACATCTTGGGTTAGCTCCTCGTTCCACATCCAAGTAGAAGGACTGACCTGGTTTCCGGCCCAAGAACGCGCTGTAAAGCACATGAACACAGCCTGCGAGCACAGCTCCCTGCCCAGCCCTGCCCCTTGTTCACGACACCAATTCCAATAGACAAGCAACACATTCGACACAGAGTCTTTCGACTTTTCATGTGCTAGTCGATGGCCAGTGCAGGTTCGTTGGTGCTGATATCGCTGTTGTTTGCGCGGAATCTGTACGTTTGACATGTGCAAAGCGAGCAGCCACAAGCACGGCCGACGATATTGCAGCTTCATGCTCCATGTTCGAGATGTCGTGCGATGCCTGCCTGGGATGCGGGCTAGGTGTGTCGAAGAATCCACGCGAAGGGTCGGGAAATTATTGAAGTACTCAGTTCTGAATCCTGCAAAGACTTTTTGGCAGCACAATCAAGCTGAGCTGCAGGCCTGTGCACTTCCACAACCCTACTTAGTTGGCGGATTGCCCACTTCACCCGGGACAGGACGAAACGAAACAAAGCAAAACAGTACGAGCAATACACCGCTACACCATACGCACGCCTGCAAAAACCAGACTAGTATTGGTAATTTCCCTGCTTGGGCGGTTCCTCACGAAGATCCAAGCCGCCGATAGTACCGGAAGCATGTGCCCGAGTGAGTTGTTTCCAACTCCTGGTGGTAGTGAACCTTGCAATCACCTTACAAAGGCCAGGCAAGATCTATCAATACAGGTGCAGTTGGCAAATGACGTCGTCAGCCTGACATGCAGCACGTGGTCGCCTTGCACGTTGCCGCACAGCTCTTGCAACTCCTCCTCGATTTCCAAACGCCCACAATATACGATGTCCTGAAATCGATCCATAGCGGCACATGGAAAAGCAGGTGAGAAAGACCTACTGCTCTGCCATGATATGCAGCAAGACGCGAGCCGCTCACGCTGCTTCTGCCACTGCCGTCGCAAGCGTGTCTGCGCCGCGTCCAAGTGCAGGAGAAATGTGGGCAAAGGTCGGGTGAATAATGCCTGAAAGTTCAGGCGGCCTTTGAATCAGTGTCTGACTCTCGGATCTGTGCCTTCGGCCCCTCGGGATGCCGATTGCTGGCAGCTCGCAGAGCTGCTTGACTCTGTGCCAGAAGCGAAGGATCGACACCTTCCAAGGAACGGGGGGCTCAAGATGTGACAGCAAGAAACACACCACAACAAGACATGAAGGTGGAAAGCCCTACGCCCTACGCAAGTCAGCTGATTTCCCGTAAAGAGCCATAAACCGGGATTGCTGCAACTGGCAAGGGCCTGGCATTGAAGGTGCCACCTCTCCAGAAACTCGCATCCCAGCAGAAGCCAGGGCAGCTGCAGCACCAGCACGGGCCAAGGCGCAGGAGTGGCGCAGCAGAGGTACAGCGTGCGTCCTGGAAAACGGTGGGGGATCATGCCTCAAGCCCTTCGAGCATGTGACATTGGCTTGGCGTCTCGGTCCCTTCCTGATCGCTGTGGCATCCTCACACGGCGTCAGATGACGCTATAGGCACAGCGACATGGCAGAGCAAACCGACGGCACGACGACACCCTGCCTGCACATTGCTTTTCAGCAAGACTGCCAAGCGCCCGATGTCAGCTTCGGCAGATCGGCAGTCTGCGGGGAACGTTTGTCCTGCGAAAAGGACTCGGGCTGCTGGGTGACCGACACGATTTCTCTGATATCGTGACGATAATGATGTCGTGTGAAACCGCTACGTCAGCTCCTCTAACTACTGACACAAACAACATCCCAACGACAGTTGTTTAGGGGCTGTCCTTCGTACAAGTCGCCCACGAGCGCAAGGATTTGAAAGATTGGCCACTCCGCAGCTATGGCCTCCACATCTGTAAAGTAAAAAGAAAAATCCTCAATTCACTAGCACTGTCGTTTCGGAGCCTCGGTCCAATTGCTGCCATGGACAAGACCCCATAAGTCTTCCTGGCAGGCCGAGTCTTCACAAGGGGGTTCCCGCCCTTTCGTGCTCCACAGGGCTCCTCGTAGCGTCGAAACCACGCTTCCCAGCTCAAGCCAGAATAGAGCACCTGTGTCAGATGAGCCTTGCAGCCTTGCCTGCTGGCCTGGTTGTCCTGATGGAGGCTTCCATCTCAGCGCCAGGCAGAAACCAGCACACGAAGACAAGATCGGCCCAACGGACATCGGCTCTTCTCTGGCAGCACCTAGCAGGCGGCAAGCAGGGCGGTAATATAATATAATACAACACAATGTAATATATCTTAATAGAATATCATATACAAAAAAATAAATAAATAAATATATATATAGATATAGA